CTATAATTTGGTTTCTTTCCATATAGAACATCAAAAGGTGTCTTGCCATCTAGCACTTAAAGCCTAACCTGAATCCAAGGCCCGAAATGAGGCCCATAAAGACTAAAAGACCCGACCTAATCAACCAAAGGCCAAAACCCAAAGGCCCACGAGTCACTCATCTAAAGGCCAGCCTAAAAGAGGTTGGGAATGCCCAAAATGCAAAAAGAAACATGCCATAAACCTAAGGTCTACCTTGGAGGGCCAATAAGCAGTTTAGCTACTGCCCAAGAAGAAATACAAGAATTGGCTAAGCTCGATTTTACCCAATCAAGGCTGAGAGGTCTACCTTGGAGGAAGAACACTAATTTAAAAAAAAAAGACTCATTGGAGTAGTCGTCAGCTAAGGGAATCCTTGGCCTAGATTATGGGAAAGAATATGAGAAGGAAGATGACTTCTACACACATGAGGAGACCATTCTCCTACCTTCCCTATAAGTCAAAAAACAAGAAGAATTCCACATCTCTATGGAAGAATACAAGCTGGGAAAATGAGAGTTCGAGTCACAAACAATCAAGTAAGGAGATGAAGCAAGAATTCAACTTGGACAGGAAACTCGGAGGCATCACAAAATCAGCCTAGGAGAAATTTTACATGTTGAAGACCTCTTGAAGAATCCTACTTCAAATCTAGATAATTTACAATCAGACTCCTATTCAAAAATAACCAAGAATCAAGAAAGAGAGAATAATGGTGAATTAAAGTTCGAGTAGGAATCCAAGTCAAAAGATAAGTCAACTTCAACTACAAAGAAGAATTCTTTAATTTAACTATTTTATTTATTTGAATTATCTTATTCGATAGTGTTTGATTATTCTATTATTTTAAATGTAAGTCTTTTAATTGAATTAAGTTTGAGAGTTTGGATAGGAATTTTAAATCATATTATGATTAGAAGTAGTAAATAAAAACCTATATAAAGGCTTAAGTCTTGAGATGTAAATTACAATTTAGTTTATTAATAAAAGTTAAAGCTTTTGCTTTCTCAAAATTAGCTTAGTTAATGTTTTGAGTGTTCTTCAAGTTCTTCAAAACTAGGGAGCTTCCTAAAGTCTTGTTGAGTCAAGGAGTGAAATCAACTAATCGGGTAAGTCGTGACATCTTCTTTCTCCTTTTTAAATGTTCTATTTCTTATTTATGCATGTCATATAGGTCGTTTAGATTCAAGTAGGAAAGGTTAATTAGGCATATAAGTTTCTAATTGCATGTTTAGTTGAGGTTTCGAGAGTCAAAATAATCCTCTCATACCCTCCCGCATAAGCTGATATCAGAGTTTAGATTCCTAGTGAACCTGTTATCCTTTTATTGTTAGCATTCTTGGTCATAAATTAGCAATCAAAATTTTATTACTAATTCGTTTTGCATCCCGTTTGGATTCATAATTATCCATTTATTCAAGTGGTTTCATGTTTCTATCATTAGTAAAAAAAATTACAAAATCAAAAGCTGAAAAATATTGCCAATTACATACCATAAGGAAATTGGCAAGTTGTTTGCATTCAAAACATACAAAAGAAGAGTAACCACCTTATTATGTAATGGAAAACCTTTGAAAAGTCGAAGGAAGAGTAACTTATCTACTAGGTGTGTGCGAAAACTTTTATTTTTATTATGTTGCATAATTCATGTTTGCATTTTATCATCTTGAGCTTTAGAATCAATATTCCTTTAAGACTTTTACCAGTATCTTAAGACTAACATACAAGTCCCAATAAAGAAGACTCGACTCCAAGGCTCAACCTGACAAACAACAGGTTCACTATGGCACAAAAAATATAAACTTTGAAGCAACTACATATGAGGATGTGTTCCGACATTCCTAGGTACCAACCGAGCTACTTTTATTTGTTTATGGCTTCGTTGTAGGCCTCTAATTATCTATAGGATGAAGATTCATGTTTGAGCATGAATCCTTCTAAAGAAGGGGGTATGACGTGATATATGAGAGCTCCGAATCCATGTCAGAAATGGAGTTCCAAAGTGAGTGGGAAATCTGTAAGAAGTTACTAACTTGCAAGCCAAATACTCGCAAACTTGTGAACCCACCCACAAAGAAACCCAGAATAGGAGCATGTGTCGCACATGCCCATGCACATGACAGCAAGCTTGTGGGCTTGGATCTTAATGGGCTAGACCCTCTTGAAACCCAACCCAAGGCTAAGGCCCAATTTGAGGTTCATGAAGACCAAAAAACTAGGCCCAAGTGGCCAAAGGCCAAAACTTGAAGGCCCACGGGTCAATTTTTCAAAGGTCAGCCCAAACTTGAACACCCACGGGCTAAGCCTGAGGTCCACCTTGGAGGGCCAAATAGCAATTAGGCCATGACCTAAAAAGAAGGACAAGAACCAACCAAGCTTGGTTTTGTCAACACTCAACTAAGGCCAAGATGACCCAAATAAGTAGCAGCTTAGCCGTAAGATGAGACTTTTTTTTTTTATCTGATGAGGAGGAGGAAATAGAGCAAGGAAATCCTAGGCGTTATCGAATTCAAATACCATCATATAAGAAAGAGGAGAAGAAAGAGGACTTTTACACACTTGAAGAGACCATTCTCCTACCTTCACTTTAAGTCCAAAAATAAGAAGAATTCAACATCTCTATGGAAGAATACAAGCTAAAAAAAAGAGAGTTCAAGTAAGAAACAATCAACTAAGGAGATGAAGCAAGAATTCAAATTAAAGAAGAAACCCAAAGGCACCATGAAATTGGCCTAGGAGAAATTTTGCATGTTGAAGACCTCGTGAAGAATCCTACTTCAAATCTAGATAATTTACAACAAGACTCTTATTCAAGAATCATCAATAATCAAGATAGAAAGAAGAATGGTGAACTAGAGTTCAAGTAGGAATCCAAGTCAAAGGAGAAGTCAACTTCAACTATAAAGAATAATTCTATTAATTTAATTATTTTATTTGTTTGAATTATCTTATTAGATAGAGTTTGATTATTTCATTATTTTAAATGTAAGTCTTTTAATTAAATTAAGTTTAAGAGTTTGGATAGGAATTTTAAATCATATTCTAATTAGAAGTAGTAAATAAAAATATATATAAAGGCTTAAGTTCTTAGGATAAAAATCACAATTCAGTTTATCAGTAAAAATTAAAGTTTTTACTTTCTTAAAATTAACTTGTCTAATTTTTTTAGTGTTCTTTAAGTTCTTCAAAGTTTAGGAGCGAAGTTTTGTTTCAACAAGGAGTTGTAATCAACTCATCGGGTTAGCTGTGACATCTTTCCTCTCTTTTTAATTTTCCTATTTCTTGTTTATGCATGCCATAGGTGGGTGTAGATTCAAGTAGGGGGAGTTAATTAGTCGGTTAAGTTCTACTTGCATGCTTGATTGAGGTTCCGAAAGCTAAAAACGATCCTCCTCACACCCTCCCATGTAACTAAGTGTGGGATAATTTCGTAAATTGATTGTAGATTGACTTATGCAACTCCAATCTCATTAAATTTTTTCTAGTGCAAAGAAAGGTCCAGGACAATAGCCTCTTTACATTCTTGGTAAAAAAAAAAATAGAACATGAACTGGGAATCAAAGCTAGCATGAATTACCACCTAGCACTGAGACATTGGTACCTAGAGCCATGATGCCACAATTTTGCAAAATTAAATGTTAATGTTTAATAATCATGGTTCGAGTTACGAGAAATAGAGGTCTCAATGTCGTGACCTTTACTTCTAGTATCATAATGTCCTAATAATATTTTAAATGGGGGGTATCTATAAAAAAAGGTTTAGTACATCTTCAATAGTGAGGAGAATCGCTAGAGAAGAAAATAAAATTGAGAGAAAAAGAGGAAAAAAAAAACAAGAGAGAACGTGGGATTCTATGAAGGCATAGAGGAAAAAAAAAAGAGAAGATTTTTCAAGCAGGAGATTTCATTCCTACACCTAAGTATTCTTTTCCCTTTGTTTTTCTATATAATTTTTATGAATTTTTTGATTATTTTTTTTATGTGTACGAATGCAATGAGCTAATTTCATTTGTTAGGGAGTTGAAACTTATGCCCTTAACATAATGATATTAATTTGTTGAATATGGTCAAATTTTTGATATACGAGGACAAGTATTATGTATTTGCTTAACGCTCCCTGGTAATTGGATGTGAATGCAAGTGTAATAACATTCGAGAGAAGAAATTGCATATGTTGATATATTGGATAGTAAAAAATTGATTCTTAAATAGGAATCATTTTAAGTAAACTATGGACAACATGACCAATTGATTCAAATATTGACCATTTCTAGAAAATTTATGTAATCTGTTTGAGTTTAATAGAAAAGGACACTCGCTTTTAAATTGATTTAATATAAAATCTACATGCAAAAGATATTTATCATTAAAATCAGTTATGATAATTAATCCGCATGAGAAAGATAATTTTATCATTAGGGGATTCCATTATTGTATTCGTATCAAAACCAATCCATTTCACTACATTAACGGTAAGGTGAAATCAATTCTCTAACATTTTTCTATTATTGATTTTTAGCTCTATCCAACTCACTTGCTTTTAATTTCTCAAATAAAATTATAATTATAGCAAACACTGAATTCTAGTGAGGACAAAACTTTTTCATTATTATATTTACTTATTTGGCTAGTATACTTGTTCGTGTATTTTGCCCATGTCATATATTCACTAGATTGCTAAGTTTTTTACCCTCTCTTCTCCTCGTGGAATTCGACTCCCCAACAAACAAATAAGCTGGCCCATCCCTTTAAAATTTTCTTGGCTCCAACAACCCCAACTTTTCTCTCATATTTCTTTACACAATATATATCTAACACATTTATTTTTTATTTTTATTTTTTAAAAAGGAGCTCTTTAAGTATCAAATGGAAATAAATAAACTCTTTCCCCAATTGAAATCCTCTGCTTGTCAGTTCTGTTTCCCAGGGCCCCCATCTGTCACGACTCGGCCAGAAAAAACAAAACAAAACAAAGAAAATGCTCTCCAGCCACCGCCTAACGCCACGTTTGACACTTCACAACAATACACACAACATAATATATCGATAAGCCACGTTTACTCTCTCCTTTAGCTACTGTTTTTGTCCTTTTTCTTTTCTCTTCGTCTCCTCGCACCATCTTCTTTTCTTCTTCATCATCTTCTTCAACCCAAGCACGCAGGCCTTCTTTCTCTCAATCTCTTTGTTGACGTGGGTTCTTTTTGAAATTCGGTGATGGGAGATGAAATGAGAGTACCATCCACACCAAACAACATCAATAACCATGATACTACTCATCAAAGCACCACCGATCAGCCTCAGGTGGTCGGCTTGTACCCTCTGAGTTGCTACTACTTTGGATCCACCCAACCTCTTTCTTTCAAGGATGAGACGTTAGCTGATCGTGTTCAGAGATTCAAACTCAAGTACTCTCTCTCTTTCTCTGCTTCTCTCATATTCTGCTGCCTTTTTTCCTTCCCATTTTGACTTTTAAATTTATGCCATTTAGCTATGCTGCTCATGGGTTGAGAACTCGTGTTGAAGGGATTCTTTTGGTAGGCTTCTCTCCTCTCTTATGTTTTCAGTATCACTCTTTTTTTCTTGTTTCCCGTAAAAAATTTTATATATTGTTTTCTCTCCGACCATGGATATGCCATGAATATGAAGCAATCTTTATTTTGCCTGTCGCATGGTTCATTAGCGTAAAAATATTTAGGCATGTGAATTTTGCAAGTTACAGCTGCATTACTGATATATATAAATTTCTATCCAAATAAAAAGTATATAATTCTTAGTTGATCATATAGTCCGTGACGTCTTTTCAAGTGTTTGAGGTGGGAGTAGAATTAGTTCATTTGTGAATCAGAGACTATCCCAGTTCTACGTTTAATAGATAGATCTTTCGGTAATCAAAGTGCAAGAATATGGAATTTAACCAAACATAGCCGAGATGCTAAATTGAAGTAATGATAAGTTAAGTCAACTCTTAGAGATAAAGGAATAAATATATTGTTACTTTTAGTCTGTATTATAATTTGTAAGTATCACTAATATCATAATCTAAATTCAGATTAATTATAACAATATGTTTATCCCTTTAAGAGATCCATAATGGAAGATTGTTCTTTGATTGTAACATCTAATGGTTTTCTCAGTGAACTGGAGGAAAAAACGTAGGAACAATTTTTGAAGGGTGAAAATAAAGTCAGAGAAATTATCATTTCTACAAAGTTGCTGACACATGGTCTGCCAGCTAAAATTGACTATCAATGCAAATAATCTCTTCTCAGTTAATGATACATGAGGAGTTTGAGCTATACTTAGAAGCAGATGCGGAGGGATAAATCCCCAATGGAAGTGGAGTGCATATGCATATATATATATATATATATATATATATATAGATATATATAACATTTGGTTTTTGGGTCTGGAATCCAATTCCCTCTCTGACAATGCTAAATGTCTTAGTCTATTGATGCAAACATATTATGTGCATCTCTTGTCTATGGCTATCTCATCCCAAGCAAGATAGAACATTTGTTGTAAGAGAGATTAATAGAAATAGGATTTCTAAATAATGAGTAAAACATTTTACTCGTTGTAGATGGTGAAAGTCAGTGGATTTTAAGATTAGGATTAGGAGCTTTGTTATTGAGCACTTACTATTGGTAGCTTCAATACCCTTAATTTATTTGGTGCGGGTTCAGCCCCTTTGAGGCCTATTTCACTGCATTAAACATGTAGACGAAATATGTTTTGTGCCATTTATATGAAGTTAGATCTAAATTTAGTGTAGTCTGCTTGATAGGCTGTTTTCTTTAGCTTCGGTGTTTTTATCTTTTTTCTTATCATAATATGGCATTCTTTTTCTTTCTTGATCTTTTGTTATTCACACTCAGCAAACTGGGTGGTTAGAATTTAATGCCTTGTTAGTAGTTTCGCATTTTGAGGCATGTCTGGCCCTAAATTTCTTATCTGCATTGCTCCCTAAGTTGACAGAGGAATCATGGCATGTGACGGTATGCTGAAATGATTTTATGTTACTAAATCAGGTTGAGTTGTTCAAGCATCCCCACTTGTTACTGCTTCAAGTAAGAAACTCCATCTTCAAGCTCCCTGGTGGTCGGTTAAGACCAGGTGAATCAGGTAAATGGATGTTTAACATATTGGTTGATCTGAAAGGTCTTCTGCTGGAGGTTTACTGAGTTTACTGTTGTTGTGACCTAATAGATATCGATGGATTGAAACGCAAGTTGTCTAGGAAACTTTATGTCAGTGAAGATGGTAATGAATCTGATTGGGAGGTGCAAACTTTATCTTATTCTTCATCTGTCTTGCTGAATTTTTCACTGCAGGGTGTGAATTATTATCTATCCTTGATGTTTAGGTGGGAGAATGTGTTGGAATGTGGTGGAGACCTGATTTTGAAACCCTGTTATATCCGTCCTTGTCACCTACTGTGAAAAAACCAAAGGTAGTTGATCCTCAGATTAACACTACTTTCCTTGTGGTAACATAAGTTCCTAAATCTTTGTCTTATTTTCTAGGAATGCATAAAACTCTTCCTCGTGAGGTTACCAGAGAGTCGAAAGTTCATTGTGCCAAAAAACCTGAAATTGCTTGCAGTCCCTTTGTGCCAAATACATGACAATTACAAGGTAAAGATTTGCATTACGATTTACTGAAATTGGTTTTTGGATGGATGTTCCAGGGAGATTAATTCAGATAATTCTGTATAACATTAATAGGATGGGAAGTGATTCCACTATATTCTCGGTTTCATTTTTAATGATCTAAAATTATTAGCCAGGGGAAAAAATTCACCCTTTTCTTTTATGACTCCATGAATGTCCTTGTAGTGTCTTATCAAGTTCTGAAATCACAGGGAAAAAAACAAATTGTTAACTGATGAATGTTCTTGGAAATCCTTGTGTGGAATTCAATTGAGATAAATATAGCAAATGGGTTTGATGAATTTGAGACACTTATCTTTTGCAGACATATGGACCAATAATATCAGGAATTCCCCAGCTGTTATCTAAATTCTCCTTCAACATAATTGAATGTTAAAGTTATAATATGGACTACGAGGTATGTGATCTAGAGGCTGTATGGCCTGCCTGGCGTGGGTAAAAAGTTTCAGATACAGGGTTGTAGACATATATATATATAAATGTATATGTATTGTTCAAAATCTTTGAAGATCTAAAAGGGGGTGCAATGGAAGATGAAGAACAAGATTATTAAATGTTAAGCACATGTTTTGAATTACTCTTTTTTTGAATTAAGTGAAAAATAGAGTGTAATGAAACATCTCCATAGACAGTTTTTTGCTTCTGTGATTGCGGGTACATCCTTATTATGACCGTCGTCTCTCTTTGGATGTACATGGATTTCATTATCAATCCACGAGTTCTTATACCAATTACTTTTGACACGTTAATAATTCTCTTGTTATAGATTAACTTGTTGTTAATAGATCCATAAAAAGTAGTGTTAAGATGAATAATACTTTTATAGAATTTATTAGTTTACCTCATCTATTTGAATAATCTGTCTCAAAGAAGAACCAGTAAGAGATATAAAATCGTTCTATAATTTTTCAAATGAAATGTTTAGTTAATTTTATATATCTTCCGATTAATTTTCTGTGAGACTCTCTTCTCTTAAATTATGAATTACTTTAGCTTTTTTTTTTTTAATTTTTTATTTTTTTTTTAAAAGTTTTATATTAAAATTGAGGATAATTCATGAAAAGACTTTTTGTGATATTAAAAACAAAAAGTTTAACTTCTCTATTATTTTCTTAGCTTATGCACATCATGTATATTTTAATTTTTTCCAGATAAATCTTTATCATTAACAATGCATCTAATAATATTAGACATATGTTCATGTAGAAATTAAGTTTTAAAAATTTTAGTATAACATTCACATGACTGATTTTGTTATTGTTATCTTTTTAGTTTTTTTAATTAATTTATATTTAATTTATAATTATTTAAAGATAGAAAAAATAAAATAAAAATAAATAAAGAAATGAAGTAATTGTCATTAGAACAACCACGTGGCAATCACAATGTAACATTTTTAAATTTTAGTATCTATATAAGCACATCGTCTATTATGTGATACGTGTCTAATACTACATATATTGTTAGTAATAAGAGTTTGTTTAAATAAAATTTGAATATTCAAGTTGTATTGAACAAAAAAAAAAATAGTGTAGAGGTAAATTTAAAATTTTTATGTAATATAAATTTTTTTCGATATATTATTCTATTATAATCGTATGTAATAATAGCATTGTTATTGGACCTCCTAGAACATTAAATAAACAAATAAATAAATAAGTAAAACTATTCAAATTATAATTGCGGCTCTAAGAGTTAAAATCAAGAAGGTTGTATATGGGTACTTAATGTTAATAATCAGAGAGTAAAAATGATTTTACGGCCTCATTACAACCCATTAGGTTTACAAATCCAAAAAAATAAAATGAATATTTGAGAGTCATAAGCTTTGATTTGGTTTATAAGAGGGTTGTTTAAAAACCTCTCAACCCATTTATGAGGACTCATATCAAAGATGGAAGTGGTTCAAGATATACCAAATAATTCTTTTTTGTTTAATGTTTAAAAAAAAAATCATATCATTATAAGAAACAAATCACTATTGTCTTTCTGTGATAGAATTATCAACTTTATGCAATATATTTAAGTAAATTCCTTGTGCCAAAAAATTTTAATTAAAATCTTAAATTTATTTATGCACTACCTAGTTAGGAGGGATCAGCACCAAATGGGAGGTGATGTTATATCACAAACATACGCACACTTAAGATGACTCTTGACAAGGAATTATGAACTAATAAACTAACTTGATTTATTCAAACATACATGAGGAACTTAAAAAAGGGATGTATATTAACACTACTTAAAAAGAAGTAGTTCTGAGTTATTACTATCTTTATGATGTGCGGTATACGAATTGTGCAAAATTTATAGTGTATAGAAGATAAATATATTATTGGGGAAATAAATTCTTAAACCATGCACAATCACAACAAAGTGAAATAGATAGAAAAGACACATAGGATTTAATGTGGTTCGATAGTGTGCCTACATCTACGGGTAAAGTTAATAAGAAAGTTTTTCACTATGATAAAAATAGAGTACATCACCAATAGATTAATAAACTTATATATAGAGAGACTATTAGAGCTCTTCTCTAATAAAATTTTTTAGGATATAAATCAAATATTCTCTAAGATAAATACAAAATATCTCCAAGATATACATAAAATATCCATTAGGATAAATATAAACTCTCTTTAGAATATAGATAAGTTATTTCCAAAATTCAAGCTACATCAAAAAAAATTTCTTTAGCTTGAATTCTCTATATCATCTAAGCAACTAATCGTCTTGTCATGTCGTCTTGCCATCATGCCCCTCATAAAAGTGCTATCGCGTATCGCATATTCCAACCAAGTCTAGGTCACACCTAAACTTACTACTTGATCCCTAAACGAAGTGATGTCTGTCATCAAATTCTTCACATACTACACTAACCTCTTATCTGTGTATGCACTCCCTGGTTATTATAAATCAACTGTCCCTAAAACTGACAAAGTATATATAATTAGATTCTCATACCTCTGTCGTGGTCTTATCTGTCTTTTCTCTCTGCCTGTTACAATACTATATGGTTGTTGTTGATCAGGTGCATTATCACAATTAAGAACCTGCACTTTATTCCTTAGATCATTTAACTGAACTTCTAACTCTATTTGTTCTCTGAAACCGTGATATGATTCTACTAATGTCTTCTCCTTCTGAGTGTCTAGTGAAGTAAACTCATTGAATATTACATCTCTACTGATAACCAACCCTAGAGACTTGGGATCACTACACCACAACATGTAGTCTTTCACTTTAGATGCATAACCCAAAAATATGTATTTTTTTATCGTCGGCTCAATTTTACCATCTATCATATGACCATAAGCAGAATAACCCAAATACGTTCAATTAAAAGTAATTATCTATGACCTAGATCATACCTCAAAAGGAAGTTTACATCGATAGTTATAGATAAGATCTATTAACCAGTAACAAGTAGTGTCATAATGTCAGCCCAAAATTTA